GCCATGATTGGTAAATTGCTGAATGCATGCCTGAATAATGGAATAGAAGTATTTCAGGTTTCAAGCTCTGGTTGCCCTGTTGTACATCAGGGGCTGTATTGAAGGTGCATTGTATCAGTTGTTTTTCTTGTCCTGTTGTACATAGGGGGCTGTATTGAAGGTGCATTGTATCAGTTGTTTTTCTTGTCCTGTTGTACATAGGGGGCTGTGTTGAAGGTGCATTGTATCAGTTGTTTTTCTTGCCCTGTTGTACATAGGGGGCTGTATTGAAGGTGCATTGTATCAAAGTTTTTTTTCTTGTCCTGTTGTACATAGGGGGCTGTATTGAAGGTGCATTGTATCAAAGTTTTTTTTCTTGTCCTGTTGTACATTGGGGGCTGTATTGAAGGTGCATTGTATCAGTTGTTTTTCTTGTCCTGTTGTATATAGGGGCCTGTATTGAAGGTGCATTGTATCAGTTGTTTTTCTTGTCCTGTTGTATATAGGGGCCTGTATTGAAGGTGCATTGTATCAAAGTTGTTTTTCTTGTCCTGTTGTACATTGGGGGCTGTATTGAAGGTGCATTGTATCAGTTGTTTTTCTTGTCCTGTTGTATATAGGGGCCTGTATTGAAGGTGCATTGTATCAAAGTTGTTTTTCTTGTCCTGTTGTACATTGGGGGCTGTATTGAAGGTGCATTGTATCAAAGTTGTTTTTCTTGTCCTGTTGTACATTGGGGGCTGTATTGAAGGTGCATTGTATCAAAGTTGTTTTTCTTCTGCAAAATGGCAAGTTTTTTCTGGTTTCTGGAACAAATTATTTTTAAAAATAGTCCCTCGCTCACTGACGAGACACAACGTGGGCTATTTTTGCAACATTGCTTTAGTGTCTTCTATATTCATGATGATGAAGTCTTAGTGTTAATAACTTCTGAATGTTATCACAACTTTTCCCTCTCTGTAAACCAAGCTGTTTGGTAAGGGGTATAAATGTAACATCCCACGTTGGAAAATCACACATTTCTGATTGTGTTCTGCAGTGTTGAAATGGTGGTAATAATGTGTGGCAAAACCTAGCTGTAGTGCAGGTGGCCTGAGTCACACATGTGAAAAACAAAACATTAGCTATCTAAATGTATGCTAAAACCTTGGTGTGTCAAAATAGCAAGTCTTAGATCAATGATAATCTGATTTCTATGGCAAAATTCTAAAACCAATTTTTCTTTTTTATTCTATGTTAAGAGGAAACATGAGTGGCCCAAATTCACTGTGCAGGGTTGTGTCCCCACAGAAACCTGTGATCGTAGGTTTGAATCAAAGGCTCAATCTGATTGTTTTTCAAGGTTTCTTGGTGTCATTGTCATATTTGTCAGAATCTGACTGTTACCTTTATCTTAGCAGCAACTCGTACATAACATACACGTCTATAATTGTCAGAATCTGACTGTTACCACTATAATAGCAGCAACTCATGCATAAAATACACGTCTATAATTGTCAGAATCTGACTGTTACCTCAATGTCAGCAGCAACTCATGCATAACATTCACATCTGTCACTGAATCTCAGGTAGTTGTAGACACACCAATTCTTTAACTTTGCGACATAGCAGACGGTCTCCCAGCCAGGCCCAGCAGCAGTGCTTTGTGCAGAGTGTTTGAAGTCTCTTCAAATAACAAGGCTAACTCCAAGTGATCAACTCACATGTACGATTGCATGGCATTATTCAGCTCCATCATTGTGGCTAGTTTCAAGGATGTGGAGCACAAATCGAAACGTGGCTGATTTCATCCTGATTTACCTTGAATGACATTCTTTCAAGTTTTCGAAAGAAACTGGCCAGAATGCTGTCTTCCAAGCTGCCTCAATCAATAATATCATAAAAGCCTTTGTTATCTTACAGTTCGTTGCCGCTTCCAGTAGAGGAGGGCTTGCCCACATCAGAAAATAATGAACAGGAATGATGGTAGAAAGTAACTAGCAGCCTAGTAATTGCCAAATTATTGTTGCTTGCCATACTTAATTTGGTGACTAGCGTCTTAGGTCTGCTCCAAGATCATTAGCGATGTGCTTTTTGTATTCAGCACCAAAGTATTGGAGTCACATGACACCACTATAGTATCACAAGCACTGGAAAGTAACATATACACTTCTTCCCATAAAATTGATTTTCTTGTATGTTAGTTGGATGAAGTTTATTTTGGACCATATTTTGTCTGCTGCAGTGATTATCAAGGCAAATCAAGCTAGTCAACTTATTGGACAACAGTACTAGTTGAGTAATTAAAAGTTCAATATGACTTGTTTGTTCTTTAAATTGATTTCTTTTCTTTATTTGTGATTTGAATAAGATTTGTTTAGTTCTGCTTTACAAGTTACAAAACGTGTCCTACCTGTATCACATGATTCTGTATGATTCTACATGATTCACACAGAAACAGACACTAGTCTGAGATTCGATCATGAAACTAGCCAAAATATGGAAGAACGGTTTTCTCCCCAAATCTAGTTTTGTTCAAGGAAGCACTTGTCTGAAATGGGCTTTGGACTGGTTGGATGTGACTTAAGGTGTCTACTTGTGAACAGGACAGGAATGAATATATAATTATAAGTCAAATTAAAGTATAAAGACATTAAAACAATTATTTAAAATCCAGAAAGATTTGTCAAATTATGATGAAGCAAGTTTTCTTTGCTTGTTTTTTTAAAGCCACAGTCAGCAGTATTCCACCTATATCACAGACGTTTCTAAATAATCAAATCTTGCGACCAGACAGACCAGTGATTGATATTATGAGCCACATGTCATACAATTAACTAAATTGCTGAGCCTGACCACCTGAGCCATTTGGTCTCACATCGGACCCGTGAAGATCCGGGTTGGGATAGGTCTTCATCAACACAGGCTAGCCATAACAGACAAGTATGCTTGTCGTAGGAGGCGACTAACGGGACCAGGTGGTCAGGCTCGCTGCCTTGGTTGATGCATGTCATCATATCCGAGTTGTGTAGATAGATGCTCATGATGTCAATCACTGGATTGTCAGGTCCAGATTTGATCTCCATATCTCTGTCATATAGCTGGCATATTGCTGACACACATGTTGCTGACACACATATTGCTGACACACATGTAGCTCGGACATATATTTTTGTTGAAAGCATGGCTAATGTCAGTGTTGATATGAGCAGTGACATTTTTATGAGATTTTTATAAGGGTGCGGCGTCAACAGCAAACAAATGAAAAAAATGGTCTCACATAATACCGCAAATGTACTTTACTGGAGAGCTACTAAAGTCTCCACAGAAGGATAATAGCAACTGTTTTGATGTGTCAAATCGCGAAAGTATCATGATATCTGTAGTATTTTATATTCACACCACCACCACCACCACCACCACGTATGTAGCCAGTTATGTGATCGGAATCTGTTCTGCACTGATATCACTGTTACTCAACCAATACACACCACCACCACCACCACCACCACCACGTATGTAGCCAGTTTGGTGATCGGGATCTTTTCTGCACTGATATCACTGTTACTCAACCGATACACACCACAACCACCAACTCATATGTAGCCAGTATTGTGATCGGGATCTGTTCTGCACTGATATCACTGTTACTCAACCAATACACACCACCACCACCACCAGGTATGTAGCCAGTATTGGGATCGGGATCTGTTCTGCACTGATATCACTGATATTCTGCACCGATATCCCTGTTACTCAACTGATTCACACCACCACCACCACCACCACCACCACCACCAGCCAGTATTGGGATCGGGATCTGTTCTGCACTGATATCACTGATATTCTGCACCGATATCCCTGTTACTCAACCGATACACACCACCACCACCACCAGGTATGTAGCCAGTATTGTGATCGGGATCTATTCTGCACTAATATCACTGTTACTCAACCAATACACACCACCACCACCACCACGTATGTAGCCAGTATTGTGATCGGGATCTGTTCTGCACTGATATCACTGATATTCTGCACCGATATCCCTGTTACTCAACCGTTTCACACCAAAACCATCAAGGTATCAGTCCAGTCAGGTGTTCAATATGGTCATGCATTTCTAATTCATTTTTTATCTGACGTCTAAGACTGAACAACTATGTGAAGACAGCTTGTGGTTTCCTTTAAAATATCGAAATGAAAACCCACAGTTTCTCTAAGAGACAGATTTATGAATGTCAACTTCTTTATTATGAGGAACACAACGTTTCGGAGTATATGGTTATTCCTTCATCAGGTGAATAATAAGGTTGAAATGACATTCAAAGACTTGACACAGTTTCCCTGTCAATAGTACCACGCAATTTGTAAATTGTAACATCATATATAGCTGCAGAGTAAAGTACATACAGTGAAGTGTAGCTGCAACCAGAGTTTCCATAATTAGCTATCTGGTCCTGTTGAAGAGTCTGTATGACAGCATTAATCAATACATTGTGATATTTTTCAGTTGAAGACAGCCCTATATTACTCACCTACAGTTGACCAACACAGTAAAGACTGTTATGGCTTAAGCTCTCTGTTGCTGTTATGGTAGCTTTCAAATCAAAGGAAGCCATTCAATTTTAGTAATGAAGTTATCACTGTCATTGTGATAGTTAGGATCGTCATCCAACTTGATTCAGTTATATCATGTGCATGTTAGTGAGACTTTTGGAATCGGTACTTTTTGCAAATGGTTATAGATCCTTGGCTTGTATTTCTTCATAATAGGAAACACAAGACATCAAAGTAGAGGGGTTAGAGTAACGGCACTTTAAATCTTGGTATGTAATAAGTCAGCTGTTGGTTGTGTGTATGTTGAATGGTTTCTTCTTGGATGAATCAAACTCTTAAATCAAGTTTTCATTGACACTGACACCTGTTTTCATTCACCGTAACAAGGAAATATCACAATCTCAGTGTATGACAATATAACTCCTATTCAGTTTTTGATATGAAAACTCGGAAAGTGTCAGTTTGAAAAAGTTTGAGCTTACCTGTAATATGTGCTATGTTCAATGCTAGTCCCGGCAGTAGTGTCCTCTAGTGTCCACCCAGGAACAACTGAGGCAGCGCTACACTAGCAGGAGCAGCAGCCACCGTTATCTGACGCTAGGCATCGTATCAGATTCACAATTCAATTAACACTGTGACTGTTGATATATCACACCTCGTGGGAGTGCGTCCTATGTCCAACCGATATGGCCATGGAACTCAGTGCTGCCACAGTGGCATTTCGATGGTGTTATGAGCTTATGATTGGCTAGAAATTTCTTCAAGCTTAGATGATTGGTTTATGTTGCCAGAGGCTTGAGTTAAGGTGGGTTGCAAGTTTGGGGCAAATTGTCTAATCTTCGTCAATAATAGGTTGGAGGACTTTGTGGGGTTTCTACATGGTTTTACACATGGTGTAAGGTTTGCATGGTACAAGGAATGTGTCAGCAACTCCTTGTCAAGGGATTTGACGACAATGGCAATTGATAAGGGTGTTTACTAACTTGATTAAGGGGGATGACAGGGCTGAAGAGGAGAAGAAGTGCCTCTAGACGGGGAGTCATTGTCCTGTGTCAGGCCACAGCGTGAAGGAGACAACGCTTGAGAAATAACACTCCAATAGCCAATTATTGGAAGAATTGGTCTTTAAGAGATTAGATTTTCCGTTCACATACAACTCCTTTCTCTTACAAATTTCCACGCCAATTCTCTTTGTTACAGAGTAGCAAGTAAACAATCGCCACCATTGTGTTCCTGCACGCTAATTGATTTCTTTCTTTGGTTTCAATCAGCAAGACAACCTCCTACTTAATAGCTCACTGCAGTCTGATTGTTTTGTCTTAGTTTTCAATCCAGTTCAGTTTCTTTTGCATTGGTTTCAGGTCCAGTGTTTGTCCTGCATGTCCCCGTTGTGTCATGTAGCAATAGGATATGCTTTTATTGATTAGAAAGGTGACTTTCTTAATGTCATCTGATTAGTCATCCTTTACATGAAAATTGAAAAATTAATAAATAGAAAACGAATTCATTCTTTTCGTAATTCATGTTGTCACCCATTCTTCATTGATCTGGAATTGATTAGCATGTCATGGGAATCCTTATTCTGTCTCATCATTAGAAAACGCTTTGATTTATAATGCTGTTTTTGATCTATCTGCCATATGATCAGCCTGGACAATTAGCTGGATACAATAATTGACCTGAATTAACCAGCATGCACCATGTAAAGTCTGATTGGAAACTTGTTTTGATCTTTCATATGCAGGATGTTTACGCTAGGTTGAAATGACCATGAGGATTGATTTTATGAACAAACCATAGATAACCCGGTAGCATGTCAGCCTTTACTTCTAGAAGTCTGTTGTGGCTCTTGATCTGTGTTCCCCCTCTGCAGGTACTTTGAAGATAATCACTGTCGTGTTTATCAAGTTGGAACATGGTGATTCAGCCTTTCTATGTGGCTGCTCATTTTTGGCTTTGATTTTTCCTGGTTATTTATGTTATCAATATAGAAGATTTTTGTGTCAGGTAGTGTTTAAGAAGATTAACGTGTTGTGAAACGCCATTTTTCCACATTGTGAATAGTGTCTGGGAAGTCTGGAGATTTCATGTTTGACTGCACTTTACATGGGTTCACCAGCAGACCATGACAACAGCCTGGGAATAGAATGAAGGTTTTCAGCATCTGAATTTTTTTTACACAATCAATAAGTAGATTTTCATAGATCTTGAAAAGTCCTTTACAATCAGATTGGCCCTTGGAAAGTGTTTGAATTTGGGGAACAAAGGCTCAGCCTAGAAATATTCCTTTGACTTTGTTAATACCTCAAAGAAAGAAAGTGCTTAAAAGGGAAAGCTGCTTTTCTGATTACTTTTTAGCTCACCTGGAATATAGGAACAGAAGTACTTTTTGTTGTTAGCTCACCTGGAGTAGGGGAACAGAAGTACTTTTTGGTGTTAGCTCACCTGGAATAGGGGAACAGAAGTACTTTTAGTTGTTAGCTCACCTGGAATAGGGGAACAGAAGTACTTTTTGGTGTTAGCTCAACAGGAATAGGGAACAGCTAAAAGTACTTTTTGTTGTTAGCTCACCACCACCGTCATAATCTTTTAGGTTACTGACGTCATCTGAAGCTGAAATTTTGCATGGAAAATCCCAGCAATAGTGTCTCTAAATCTTCTCACAGAATTCTGATAAGATTTAAAACATGGATTTTGCTAGAAGTAAAATATTGAAGGGTGTCTGTAGATTCTGGAAGTACGTTTTGTTTTCAGCCCATCTCCAAGTAGCGGCAAGAAATCCTCGGATGGAGAGTATCACCCCTCGAAGTCCAAGTACCATCCTGTTGATGACGCATGCTGGAAGCACAAGGAAAAGTAAGCATCACAACTGCAATCTTGGTATGATCAATTGATTGGTATCTATCATCCAGATTAAGATTTGTCTCAGGAACAATGTCTGCAGTGTTGGAACATGATAACACATATCTTTACTCGATCAAAGATGTCTGTGACATGTTCAGCATGATTCGGATTGCTTCAGGCATGTGCCAAATGTTCCCTTGCATTGGCAACTGAGCTAAGACCCTATCTCACAAAGGTTATAGGGCGATAGGGTAGCCTTGTGGTTAAAGTGTTGGGTCGTTGTGTTGCAAATCCCGTTGTGTTCCCCCACATGGGTACAGTGTCTCTGAAGTCTGTTTCTGGTATCCCCAACAATGATATTGCTTGAATATGGCTATGAGTAGCATAACCTTGCCCAATCACTGGCTCAGTTACAGTACTTGTTTGTGATCATTATTGAAGAAATAAATGACGATTAGGAGTTGCTTGTCGTACAATAAAACACTGCAGGGAGCATAAACCATGAGCGATGCAGCTTTCACAAGGAGCGCGGCCCCAGGTGGTTTATTTTCTGTGTAGTGTTTTATTGTACGATAAACAACCCTTTGTCGTTTATTTCTTATGTGAAATTCTCCCAATTCGATTGTCATATCTCTCCCACTTTTGAATGTGATCGTTCAGTCATTGCATTCATCTGAGGGAACAACTCACAAGACACTTCCCTAAAAAATTAACATTGTCCAATTTATGACGCCATCTTGCTGCGAGCACATGTTTAAATGAATGACGTCATGATAGAACAATGTTTTATTGAGAAACCACGCTTCGTTTTCATTGTTCTCTGTGATTTATCACATAGCTGTCTTTTTCATCCCGATATTGTTGAATATACTACCACTCACTAGTTTGGCTGGCTTGTACTTTATTGTTCACAAAGTTGTTTTATCTTTAAAGTTAAATGGTCTTTTGCAGAGTTCCATATCTGGCACTTTCAAAAACATTTGAGGCCATCGAGGATACATCTGCTAGGTGAGTATAGTGAAGCCAAGTCTTAGAAACATTTTTTGGATAACAAACAAATAAAAGCTGACTAAAATGTACAACAAACAAATAATTCCCCTAGACCTCATACTTCTTGTAAGAGCTGACTACAGTGTACAACAAATAATTCCCCAAGACCCCAAGCTTGTTGTAAGAGCTGACTAAAATGTACAACAAATAAGTCCCCAAGACCTCAAGCTTGTTGTAATAGCTGACTAAAATGTACAACAAACAGGTCCCCAAGACATTGAGCTTGTTGTAATAGCTGACTAAAATGTACAACAAATAGGTCATCAAGACCCCAAGACCCCAAGACCTCAAGCTTGTTGTAAGAGCTGACTAAAATGTACAACAAATAGGTCACCAAGACCCCAAGACCCCAAGCCCTCAAGCTTGTGAGCGCTGACTAAAATGTACAACAAACAGGTCCCCAAGACCTCAAGCTTGTTGTAAGAGCTGACTAAAATGTACAACAAATAGGTCACCAAGACCGAGAGACCCCAAGACCCCAAGACATCAAGCTTGTGAGAGCTGACTAAAATGTACAAGTAGGTCACCAAGACCTCAAGCTTGTTGTAGGAGCTGACTAAAATGTACAAGTAGGTCCCCAAGACCTCAAGCTTGTTGTAGGAGCTGACTAAAATGTACAAGTAGGTCCCCAAGACCTCAAGCTTGTTGTAAGAGCTGACTAAAATGTACAACAAATAGGTCACCAAGACCGAGAGACCCCAAGACCCCAAGACCCCAAGACATCAAGCTTGTGAGAGCTGACTAAAATGTACAAGTAGGTCACCAAGACCTCAAGCTTGTTGTAGGAGCTGACTAAAATGTACAAGTAGGTCCCCAAGACCTCAAGCTTGTTGTAGGAGCTGACTAAAATGTACAAGTAGGTCCCCAAGACCTCAAGCTTGTTGTAAGAGCTGACTAAAATGTACAACAAATAGGTCACCAAGACACCAAGACACCAAGACCTCAAGCTTGTGAGAGCTGACTAAAATGTACAAGTAGGTCACCAAGACCTCAAGCTTGTTGTAAGAGCTGACTAAATTGTACAACAAATAGGTCACCAAGACCCCAAGACCTCAAGCTTGTGAGAGCTGACTAAAATGTAGAAGTAGGTCCCCAAGACCTCAAGCATGTTGTAGGAGCTGACTAAAATGTACAAATAGGTCCCCAAGACCTCAAGCTTGTTGTAAGAGCTGACTAAAATGTACAACAAGTAGGTCACCAAGACCCCAAGACCCCAAGACCCCAAGACCCCAAGACATCAAGCTTGTGAGAGCTGACTAAAATGTACAAGAAGGTCACAAAGACCTCAAGCATGTTGTAAGAGCTGACTAAAATGTACAAGTAGGTCACAAAGACCTCAAGGATGTTGTAAGAGCTGACTATAATGTACAACAAATAGGTCACCATGACCCCAAGACATCAAGCTTGTGAGAGCTGACTAAAATGTACAAGTAGGTCACAAAGACCTCAAGCATGTTGTAAGAGCTGACTAAAATGTACAACAAATAGGTCCCCAAGACCCCAAGACCCCAAGACCTCAAGCTTGTGAGAGCTGACTAAAATGTACAAGAAGGTCACAAAGACCTCAAGCATGTTGTAAGAGCTGACTAAAATGTACAAGTGGGTCCCCAAGACCTCAAGCATGTTGTAAGAGCTGACTAAAATGTACAACAAACAGGTCCCCATGACCTCAAGCTTGTTGTAACAGCTGACTAAAATGTACAACAAATAGGTCCCCAAGACCTCAAGCTTGTTGTAAGAGCTGACTAAAATGTACAAGAAGGTCACAAAGACCTCAAGCATGTTGTAAGAGCTGACTAAAATGTACAAGTAGGTCCCCAAGACCTCAAGCATGTTGTAAGAGCTGACTAAAATGTACAACAAACAGGTCCCCATGACCTCAAGCTTGTTGTAACAGCTGACTAAAATGTACAACAAATAGGTCCCCAAGACCTCAAGCTTGTTGTAAGAGCTGACTAAAATGTACAACAAATAGGTCCCCAAGACCTCAAGCTTGTTGTAAGAGCTAATTAAAATGTACAACAAATAGGTCCCCAAGACCTCAAGCTTGTTGTAAGAGCTGACTACAGTGTACAACAAATTACAAATGTGGTCTTACACCTAAGAGAATTTTCCTTTCTTTCTTTTAAATAATATGTCATTCTTTAGAAATGTTACCTGCAGCTAGAAGTGGAGGTTTGTTATGGCGATATATTAGACACTCGTTACATGCACTGACACTGAACAGGATGTAGCATAAAAAAGAATGGAACTTGGGAAATGAAATACTGTGGAAATGTTATGTGATACAGGTATGTGATGTTGATAGGTTTCCTCATCAAACCCACAACAGACGACCAGCAGCAGTGTTCACTTTCACTCGCATCAGACTGATTCCATTCTTTAAATAGTTCTTGATGTTAAGGTATCACAAGTAAGGAAGAAGGAAAAAAAGAATGGTCTTGCTTCTCCTATCGTTTGCTTTGAAAGTGATTCTTTAAGCTCCTTTAATTCTTGAGAATCTATTCCTGGAATAGATGGTACTTTGTATGACTTTTCTTACCAAGCGTAAATTGTCAGATACATTATCTGAATTAGTTTGGTTTCTAGTCTTCACTTTTCAAAGTTTCATTTTTCTTTTTAATAATGTATGTCTATAATTAACACATGGAAAACTCGGTCTATGGACTTTGTGGCAGATGTCGTGTCTATGGACTTTGTGGCAGATGTCGTGTCTATGGACTTTGTGGCAGATGTCGTGTCTATGGAAGATCAAACCAGGGCAGGCCCACAGCTGACAGAATGATGTAGTTAATATTTTCTATAAATGTCCCCATGCCAAGGTTTAGGGTTAAACTGTCCCTATACAGGAAAGTAAGGGCACCCAAGGGTATGACAGTAAGGGGAAACAATGCAGAACCACCCAACTGAGAAGAGGAGCATCCCGTGATAAACGTCAGTGTCGACATGCAATCAACTTGTGCATGACGTTCATATAACAACAGGATCATACATTTTGGTCAGGAATTACACATTTGGCTCAAGATTAGAGACTACGCATTGGGGCCTACATACTATATTTCCACTGTTAAAGGGGACTGTGCATTTTCTCCGACTTTTTCTCTGTTAACTTACAGCAATCGCTGGCTGTTAGATTGATAAACATAATCAAATTTGAACTTGCAGACAAAGTTTGAGTGACCTCAGCCAACAAAACCTTGTCCTACTTTAAGATTTGGCCTCTTTAGGGCCTTGTAGAGGGGTAAGGTTTGAGAATTATCAGCTGGGCCACTATGTTGGGCCTTGTCTTGTGGTAAGGTTTTTTGGGCCTCTATTAAGGGCCTGTTGAGCTACACATAATGATGTTTTTTCCACTTTTGAGAAGAATGAGGACTGGGCCACTTACAGCAGCGAGTTTGTGATTATGGCCAGGTCTAAAGTATGCTGAGGCCCTTGCTCTTATTGGGGAAATACGGTTTTGTGTATCAGATAATTTTTGAGGAACTCTTCAGGACAATTATCATGAGTATCCGAACACAGCTGTAATATCTGTCCCTATGTGGCTAGGTTAAAAATCTGTATGCATGAAGCTGTTCTCAAACGATATATGTACAAACATCAGAATAGTTTTCAGCCGACCAAATGAAGACAAGATTCATTATGTGTTTTCTTTTTCTCACGCAGGCTAAAAATGATTGAGATCCTCTGCAACTTCTTCCGATCAGTGATCGCACTGTCTCCAGGTGATCTGCTCCAGTGTGTGTACCTCTGTCTCAACAAGCTGGCCCCGGCCTATGCCGGCCTAGAGCTGGGCATCGGGGAGACAGTGCTCATGAAGGCCATTGCTCAAGCTACAGGTAGCTACACTCATGTCCTGCACACAACTTGCATGTGCATATGACCTGTGAAGATCAGCAGTTATGATTGGTCTTCAGCAACCCATACTTGTCGTAAGAGGCAACTAACGGGATTAAGGTGGTTAGGATGAGTGACTTGGTTGATGCTTGCCATCGTATCTAAATTGCATAGATCGATGCTCATGATGTCAGTCACTGTACTGTCTGGTGAAGACTCCATTATTTACTGACTGTTGTCATATCAACAACAAACAAACACGTATGCATATACAGCAGGTTTGTCACGCTTCATCGGTGCATCACAAATTTACAGCTGCTGATTCGATATGTGATGCGCCTGCCTATTGATTCATAATTTAGTACTGTATAGATTTTTTCAAAAAGAACAATTAGCAAAGATTTGCAGTAACATAGCATTAACCTACCATCTGTCACACAACACAGTCTCCATCTTTTTGTATCATACAATAATACTGATCCCAAGTTGATTCATCATGTGTGTAACAAACTTTAATTTTAAGCAAATACAGCAGAAAATGAGTATTGCATTGTGATTCAAGTATCATCATTAACCGACCGTCATTAACTGAAAGTTAGTTGTGTAATGATACAGCGATACTGTATCGTATCCTGATACGAGGTCCACGATACATAGATTTACAATCCCTGTATAACGATACATTCTATGTATTACATTACAAGTTATATTGATGTACAAACATTTATCCCATCTTTAATCTCTGAAATTTACAAACAAATGATACAGGGTTGTGACTCGATCTGCAAAAAGAAAAAAAATCACGGTATTGTTATACCTCTACTGAAAATCCCGTTCAAGGCAACATTTCACCTGATTCCATAACACTAATTGCAGCAATAAAAATGCCTTTTTTTAATTAATACTTAAGACTCTTTGTGCTTTGACAGTGAAGAAAGAGAGCATAGTAAACTTGATTATCCACTCCATTTTGTATACATGGGCAATATACTCCCAAACAAGTTGTCCTAAGATCAAAAGGAGTATATCAGCCATTGACAAGAAACCTATCTATTGGATACAGGACGACTATCAAGGAAGTATCGCTCACTTGAGTAACAGACAACCAAATTCATTAAATTTGGGTTTTTATTTAATATTTTACCTGGCGCACTGTTATGAGAATTCAAATTTATTTTACCACAAATGTCAAAATATTTCTCAGGACACCTAGTGATACCTGACAGACCTCCTGCTTAGACTGACTTTAGTGGTAAATCAATGATATTGTATATCAAACTGTATGTTCATCTTCCTAACCATGACTTCTTGCTCTCGGGAATTGCAATAACCAACTCATCAATCTTGTTCTTGTTTTGTTGAGTGAGCACCTGGTTGTTTTTCTAACTGATTTCTATTTGTCAACTTTCAGGTCGCAGTGTAGATAAAATAAAAACAGATGCACAAGAAAAGGGAGATCTCGGGTTGGTGGCTGAGGTAGGACATTATGTCGCTGTTTGTATCTCCTGTGTGTGTTGTCAGAGTGGAAAACAATGTTATCGAGCCGGCTGTCAAATTTGTTACGCAATTTTGATTCGACTATGCATAGACTCATTAGTCCAGCCAAAAATATAATTCCATAATTCCAGCCTAGTTCAGCAAGGGTGGAAACTGGACAGTCAGTTAACTCCCTTGCCTCGGGAAGCTGGCCACAGGTTATCAAGGCCCAATCATTCACAGGCCCAGTTAGATGGCTGGACTACAGCTGGTTGTAAGCAATCCAAGTTGTATCTTGACATTTACAAAATACAACACAACATCATGTATGCTTGAACTAGCTATAACATTTAGTCAACCATACTGATCTTCTTTAAAACTGCAACCTTTGTTTAGACTTGTATAGTATACTAGGGGAATATTTATACAGTTAGGGAACATACATTTGATTTGTATGGATTTTTTTCTCAGCTGTATCCAACAAACTTTATTTACTGAACACCATAAAACAGTATATTCATTCTCACCATAAACACACAAAAATTTGACGTGGGCATTTTCCACCAAACTAACTATCATAGCCAAAAAAACAGACACAATTTGGGCATATATCTGAACAAATTGTTCATTTAAAAGTTTCCTTAATCCTCCACACACGCACGCATGCGCACACGCACACGCACACGCACACCCACTCACACAAGAAATCAAGTGGATGCTTCCTTACAACAAAACAGTAAGAAAAGCCCATTAGTGGAAACAGTGTTTTGGAAGCCTTCTTCTGTATGGTAATTATTAATGGGGCTAGTTATTGATGCCAAGTGGCTATGCACTGCCTGCATTCACAGTAGCCCACACCAATAGACCATCATTAATCATGGCCGCAAGACAACACCAGCGTCCCAAAGGTGTGATTTCTATTTAATCAGAAGGCCTGGGTTGATGTAGTGTTGTGTGCTGTGCACTTCTGCTGTGTCAGAAGTGTCTAGACTTATGGTGGTTGGCAGACAATCTTGATTGTAAGCAGACAGTTTTCATGTCTTTAAGAAATATATAGAAACTCTTACAAACAAAAACAACTGCATATTTCCACCTGCAAATGCCTGCTTCCGCAGCTTTTGAGACAACATTAAAATCAACAATGTCTGGGGAATCCACATATGTGATGTTAATGTTAGAATTACTGTCCTTTGGTTCTAAAGCTATTCCTTCATGTATATGAACCTGTAGGAAAGTAGTATATGTATATATAATGGCTACGTTGATGCTGCTGAGGATCTATGTCTATATGGCACTCTGGAGATTGTTTTCAGTGTGTCATGTTTCTTCATGGCTCTATTATAAGAATGTGTTATTGATTGTTCCTCACATCGGCTAAATAGGCTTCAGGATCTTCTTAGAAATTTAAATTAGATTTGGAAATAATACAGTGAAACGCTATCAGTTTTCACTGTGCCTTCCAGATGACTGAAGTTAGAAAAATAGTTTGAAAGGACATTATTCAGAATTCAGAAAGGACGAGGATGAATAAGAACCCATTTTGGCCCCTGGAAATGTTAAATTTTAAAGTTGCAGAAAATTGCAATGCAATTTCCCCATGCAAAGTGACAAAGAATCCAATACAATCTATGAATGTTTTACAACCATCTCTCGTTCATTGATGTGAATTTACTGTGCCATCTTGTTCCTTACAACCTGTACTGCATGGAGTCTGTGAACTAGATTACTTTTAACCCACCAGTTTCAGATTTAAATAACATTACATAGGCAGTTTTTACCCCACCAAATACAAGAGTGACTGAATATGGTTTTACGTTGCTTTTCAATATTCCATCAAGATCACGGCTGGGGACACCGGAAATGGGCTTCACACATTGTACCCATGTGGGGAATCCAGCCCATGTCTTTCTTTTCTCTCCTCCCCCTCCACTAAATACATAATATATACAGAATCTGGTGGCAGAGAGAGAGAGAATGGTGGACTTGGTGGAAAGCGTGTCATTGTTCTCAAACATCGTGGATCATTGCTCATAACATCAATCACTGGATTGTCTGCTCCCGAGTCAGTTATTTAGAGAACACAGTGGTGTTAAACAACAAAGATCGATCAAAACAACTGGATAGGTCATGTATAATATGTAGCAAAATTAGATGGTACATTCTGATGGTGTAACAGTTTGCAATAGTAAGGTGGCCTGTCTGCACCAAAGCTTGATGTGCAGAGTTATTTCCCTTAGTTGCCAGGATCTGCTAACTGTAGGACTTATTCCTGCAGTCACCCTGATTATGATCCATGGTCAGTTAAAGTACACATGGAAATGAAAACAAACTGTTTTGCTGGATTTAATAATCGACACAAAGCATTACGTTGATGTAAATACGAAATAACAAAACAACTGGAAAAGTACTAGTCTGGATTTGCTAGTTTTATCTCAGTTCTAAATACAAAATGTACTTTACAGGAGGTAATTTGTAGGCACTTTCAACATTCAAAAACAAAACTAATTCCAAATTGACATGGCAGAAACAGGCTATAGGCATTATGCAAATTAGCCTGGAAAAAGGTTGAAAAACAACAATAAAAAAACCAGCTATGTTTATGTACATAATAATAATGACATGTAAGTTGTTGTTTGAGAAGGGAATATGTTACTTTTACGTTCTGATATTTTGACGATGATTCACTATCCCACAATGCCACTCACAAATCACTAACCACTGACAAATCACATGCACGTGGGTTTCAAGCACCTGTTTTCACCTGTCGTCAAGGTGTCATAGGTCATGGACATTCACCTTGATCTACTATAACCTGGTTATGCTCAGTTTCACAATAGTCTGTTTTGTTCATATTTTTACACACTTTTACATGTAAAAAGACATAAAAACCTTTGATACGCTGTATTTGTGCTAAGGCCCAATTATTACTAATTGAGTTGTTTGAATATTTATATATTTTGTATATTAACTGCATTTATTTAAAATCTGAGATCGAAAAAAACAGTTTTTTTTCATTTCCGTGAGTACTTTAGGACCGTGATGTAATGTGAGCGATGAATTACTACCAGGTATGAATATTTTAGGTGAATAAAAATTTGTAGAATTTGACCAAGTGAAGGACATTTAGTCCTCATACATCAGAACAAATGTAAGAGCAGCTATGACAGTTACTTACGACATAGGTCATGAATTAGATATAGAAAAAAACCTCACTAATTCAAAGGTGAGAAAAGATAAATGACTGTTTACGACAATTGCAAATAGTCATCCACAGATCAAGAAAAGTAAACAGAACATGTGAGTAAAATATAATTATTTAGGAGGAGTAATGGAGGTGTTGCCATGATTAATGATAATGTTGATGGTGGAGGGGATGTTGTGGATCAAGCCAAAACTTAAATAATAAACGATGCAAGGCCGAGAAAATATATCAGTATTTCTAAACAAGAACTCAATAACTTTGCACTTGCTGTTTGTTATTCTCAATCTGCCGTACTATCACGAGGTGTTGTTGTCATGGACAATGAGTTTATTTTGAAAGTCCAAAGAAGATATTCATGTTGAATTCTGGAAGAAAATAAACCATATTATAGCAATGAAACGACTGTTTTCTCTGCATCGAACTTGAGACTGTTCGTACGAAATTAAGATCGCAGATTTATTTTAAGCCAAGGGAATATAGAATCATTTACGCTATATTATGGGATTTTGGTTGAGCATTGAGGGGGCAATGTAGGAGTACATATGTGTGTTTCAGGAATACTGTTATATTGTGGGGGGCACGGGTGGGCCAATCTTCTAAGGAGTCGCGATTCGCTGTGCAGAGTTGCGTCCCTTGGGCACGCCAGAAACCTATGATTGTGGGTTCGAATCCCAGTTCGCCCCGATTATGTTTTTAGGTTTGTCAGCACCATTCCCGTGCTCGTGGGTTCACAGAACTGGTAAACGTCTGAGACTGCATCACTTTGGGCTTTCCTCCCACATTAAGCTGACACGCCGTGATGTAACTGGAATACTGTTAAAAGTGGCATTCAACCCAACTCACTCACACTGTTATATTGTGAGATGTGGAGGGAGACTTGAGTGGGCAGATAATGTGGGGGCACATATGTGCTTCAGGAAAACAGTTCTGGAACGGTGAGCTGATCTTAGAATATCTTTCCCAGGTATATTGTTGTACATGAACCATAGTTCTGGTATATTGATTCCACCGACCAAATTAGAGGGGCAACATTTGTACTCTCACATTAACATCGTTAAGATTGAACTCACCCACTCAGTTCAGTTATAAGTACCAGGGTTGATTAATCAATGCTTAGCTTCACATAGAAAGAGTTGACCTAAAGACAGGATTTATTTTTCAACATAATCCCTTTCCACGTTAATACACTTTATCCAATGATGTTGGAGGGATTTTGTCCTTTTGAAGTCCTTATTTTGGCTGTCCAAGAAGTTCTACACAGTTGCTAGGCCGTCATTGTTCAAGTCAAAATGGGTTCCTGCTGGAGCGTTCTTCATGTTTGGGGACAGATCAGGAGAATAAGGTGGGTCCCTGAGGAATTCAAGGCCACACTCATGGATTGTTGTGATGACAATGAATGTCTGTGCATAGGAGCATTGTCTTGATGGAAGAGAAAACCTTTTCACAGCTTCCCACGTTTCTTAATCTTTATTTTATCCCGTAAAAAGTGCAGCATAATATGAGCCTTTTATTGTCTGGCAATTTCGACGATTGTCCACCATGTTGACACCATCAGGATCACAGAATATGGAGGCCATAACCTTTCCAGCTGATGGGCAGTCTCTGCCTTCTTTGTCAAATTCTTCCACTGTTTCAGTTGTTTGGATTCAGGATGGAAGCGGTGAACCCAGGTTTTGTCCATAGTCACAATTCGTTGCAAGAACCTTTCGGGGTTAGTTTCAACAGCTTGATTATTATGAGACATTTGGTGCCTGGTGCGTTTTAATCAGGTGTCAGAAGCTTTGGAACCCGACAAGAGGATACTTTCTTCATTGCCAAAGTTTCTGTGATAATGGCATGTACTCTCTCACGGGAAATCCCTTCTGAACTGGCAATGTGACACTCAGTTTTTCGCAAGTCGGATATCATCATATGATGGAATCTCTGGATTATTTCTGGCATTACTGACATCACAGGCCGTCACAGATAGGGGTTGTCTCCAAGCCTCCTCCTGCCACACTTGCTCTCTGCTGCCCACGTCTTCGCAGTGGCATAACAAGAGGCATCCTTCCTTTGTGTTGTACTCATACCTCCACGATGGCTTTTGGTGTTAAGCCCCTATTCTGCACGTTCCTCAAGTTTGTCATGTTTGTCCATATATATGTCTTACAGAGGATATGTGCCTATTATTCACAAACATGTTACATTTTTGGTTTATTTTAAGTTTTTTCCCTTTAACGACCTGTTTAATGTTTGTATGAAATATATTTAGAATTTCTACTATATTTTTGCAATATTAATGAGTGATTTTGGTAATTCATTGCAAATTAGGTGTGTCGGAGTTGCAGTGCGAGACTGTCGGATTATCGGGTCTAAATAGCACTGATCGGTTCCCATCTTTAGTGTCGGATAAAGCCGATTGTCGGATTAATGAGTGTTGGGTTAACAAGACTTGACTGTATTAACTCGAGAATATTTTTATTTGCTCTCAAAGAGCATCTGTAAGCGAAATGTTCAAGTAGTATATCTGCTTGGCATTGAGTGAGATAAGACTGACCACGAGGACACTGTATGTGATTGAGGAGATGTTCTCCAGCATTGTGTGCAGATCTCTCCCAACCATCAGTCTAACTATCTCACAGGGGAGCAATAGATAATCCACATTTTTCCTATCTCTGCCTGGCATTGTCGGAGAAGAAAGTGTTCAGAGAATGCTCATGTTATACGAAACTAAAGAACTGCTACTTGAATCTACTTGATATTTGATGCATCTGCTTGGTGCCCTCTTGTTATCTCCCTCCACAACACAAGGATGCTTAAATGAACTGGTCAGAACTGGGCTTTGACAGCAATGTGTATATATACTGAACAGGCGTGGCAAACAATATAACTATACTGAACAAAATAAGTTAGGGATCATGAATATTTTGTGGGATATATTTTGTAGTGATTTCAGAATAATATACTGAAAAAAATTCATAATCCCTAACTTTTTTTGTTCAGTATAGTTATATTGTTTGCCACGCCTGTGGAGACCCAGGTTGGCACTCTGTTGCTTATTGTAAGAGACAATGAGATTGGCGATCAGACTCACTGACTTGGTTGATTGCATGTCTTTGAAGCCGACTGCATGTGATGTTGCTCATTTTATCAACCACCTGTTTGCTGGGCCCAATCGGGTACAGATTATTTACAGCCACAGAAGGCAATGTTGTCTAAATTGCCACGATTCGCTGTTAACAGTTGTTTTCCGTTAGGCGTGTAAGAAGCCTATGATCACAGATGCACATGGGTTTACCAAAGTGGTATTGTATCTAAGACCTGCATCACTTAGGGCTTTCCTCCCACATTAAGCTAGCACAGAAGTGACAGGATGTATGAACAATGAAACACTAGAAAGAAGTGACAGGATGTATGAACAATGAAACCTGGCAAGAAGTGACAGGATGTATGAACAATGAAACCTGGCAAGAAGTGACAGGATGTATGAACAATGAAACCTAGAAAGAAGTGACAGGATGTATGAACGATGAAACCTAGAAAGAAGTGACAGGATGTATGAACAATGAAACCTGGCAAGAAGTGACAGGATGTACGAACAATGAAACCTAGAAAGAAGTGACAGGATGTATGAACAATGAAACCTGGCAAGAAGTGACAGGATGTATGAACAATGAAACCTAGAAAGAAGTGACAGGATGTATGAACAATGAAACCTAGAAAGAAGTGACAGGATGTATGAACAATGAAACCTGGCAAGAAGTGACAGGATGTATGAACAATGAAACCTAGAAAGAAGTAACAGGATGTATGAACAATGAAACTTAGAAAGAAGTGACAGGATGTATGAACAATGAAACCTGGCAAGAAGTGACAGGATGTATGAACAATGAAACCTAGAAAGAAGTAACAGGATGTATGAACAATGAAACTTAGAAAGAAGCGACAGGATGTATGAACAATGAAACCTAGAAAGAAGTGACAGGATGTATGAACAATGAAACCTAGAAAGAAGTGACAGGATGTATGAACAATGAAACCTAGAAAGAAGTGACAGGATGTATGAACAATGAAACCTGGCAAGAAGTGACAGGATGTATGAACAATGAAACCTAGAAAGAAGTGACAGGATGTATGAACAATGAAACCTAGAAAGGAGTGACAGGATGTATGAACAATGAAACCTGGCAAGAAGTGACAGGATGTATGAACAATGAAACCTAGAAAGAAGTGACAGGATGTATGAACAATGAAACCTGGCAAGAAGTGACAGGATGTATGAACAATGAAACTTAGAAAGAAGTGACAGGATGTATGAACAATGAAACCTAGAAAGAAGTGACAGGATGAATGAACAATGAAACCTAGAAAGAAGTGACAGGATGTATGAACAATGAAACCTAGAAAGAAGTGACAGGATGAATGAACAATGAAACCTAGAAAGAAGTGACAGGATGTATGAACAATGAAACCTGGCAAGAAGTGACAGGATGTATGAACAATGAAACTTAGAAAGATGTGACAGGATGTATGAACAATGAAACCTAGAAAGAAGTGACAGGATGTATGAACAAGGAAACCTAGAAAGAAGTGACAGGATGTATGAACAATGAAACCTAGAAAGAAGTGACAGGATGTATGAACAATGAAACCTAGAAAGAAGTGACAGGATGTATGAACAATGGAACCTGGCAAGAAGTGACAGGATGTATGAACAGTGAAAGTTATAAAATCTATAACAAGTACCTAAATCAGTACATGAGTAATAGAGATTGTGAAATATGATTCAGAAATAATGGAGTTTGTGAACGATAATGTTTTCTGAGATTTTAAAAAAAAAATTGTTGTGGAAGATAATTTCTCCACAAATTCCATGACATCTGACATCATTTATTTTTGCTAATTTGTTATGGAATTATTAGAGTTGTGAAAATATGTGAAACATTTCTATCAAATGAAAGCTCTGTCTACTGAAAAGTACCATTACCAGTTCACGTGTTTGGAGGGTATTGAAAGCAGGTAAAGAATCCTTTGGTTACTCACAAGCTTTAGGATGAACTGGCCTGGGCCAAACCTTCCCCAGGTAAGAGCTGGCCGGTGAAGGTTTCGCCTGGTACACTGGGGCACGGCTGGCCTAGTCGTCTAAGGTGCCGCAATTCATGGTGCAGAGTTGCGTCCCTTGGGCAAGCCAGAAACCTATGATTGTGGGTTCGAATCCCAATTCCCCCTGATTATGTTTCTTGATTGTCCGCATCATCAAAGTGGTTAACATCTAAAAACTGCATCACTTCGGCTTCCTCCCAAATCAACCTGACATATAACTGCAATACTGTTCAAAGTGGCATTAAACCCAACTCACTCCCTAACTATGATGAACCTTATTTGGTATACATGTATAAAATATATCACATATGTTTTGAGTTTGTATGTACATGTTAAAAGGGCTGGGCTATTGATGACTTTATCTCCTTGTCTGTCTAGGATCAGTGACGGAGGCCCTTTGGCAATCTGACACACATTGCTTATGTAATACTAGTTTATAATATCAGGAAGGTTTCAATCAAACTTGGGAAGTTAACAAACCTATTTATCAAGAGATGCTGACTAATGTTTCCTGTGAAATCCTTGATAAATCTCAGAACTGAAGACCTTTACACCAACTGTCAGGGATGTTGCTGCTGGTACTAATTGTTCTCTAGCTCAGTGCACAGACTGCAGTGTCCTGTTTCATCACATACTTTATTGGTATCATTATTTTATTGATTTTTGTCCTTCAAAATTGTGAATTTGTATTGGAGGTCGTTTAGCTATAAACTCAGTACATATAGGGCGTCTTAGCTGCTGTGTTTTTTTTAGAATAGATAGCTAACTTGACTCTTCAGCACTCAAGAAATCCCAATTTACAAATTGTAATCATTGATAGATTTATTTGTTGCACATTATTACATTTCTCAATGACATACATCAACTAGGTCAGCAAGTCTGACCACCCAATCGCCTCTGACGACAAGCATGGTTGTTGCTGAAGACAGTTCTAACCCATAACCTTCACGGGACTGATAGCTTGTTCTCCTAACTCAAAACATACTGCATAACAGAGCTGATTGATATGAGGGGGCACAGGTGGCCAAGTCGTCTAAGGCGCCGCGATTTGCTATGCAGAGTTGCGTCCCTTGGGCACGCCAGAAACCTATGATTGTGGGTTCGAATCCCGGTTCGCCCCAATTATATTTCTAGGTTTGTCATCACCATACCTTTGCTCGTGGGTTTCACCGAAGTGGTAAACGTCTGAGACCTGCATCACTTCGGGCTTTCCTCCCACATTAAGCTGACACACCGTGATATTACTGGAATACTGTTAAAAGGGGGTTAAACCCAACTCACTCACTCACTGATTGATATGAAAGACATGTATGACCCTCAGCCACACTTCTCCTATGTTAATGTCACCACATAGAAGTTGTAGCTCATAATGAATCCATGTAATCTTCAGTGCCTTGACACTTTCCAGAATAACTTGGAAACTTAAAGATTTGGTTGTTTTCTGTCTTGCAGAGCAGCCGAAGTACCCAGCGGATGATGTTTGCACCACCTAAACTTACTGTGATGTCAGTGTTTACCAAACTCAAGGATATTGCCAATATGACTGGACACTCAGTAAGTTGTATAGACGTGTTATGCTTTTATCTTGGAAAAAAACCCTTAATTCCACAGGGGAAACCAATATAACAGTTTGCATGACAATACATTCATAGCTGTTCCTTCCTCTGTAACTAGCAAGAAATAAGTCATATGTTGTGACTTTATTTCTTTGACTTTTTTAAAGAAAAATTATCTTTTAAGAAAACAAATTATCAATTATTTTCTAAAATCAGTGTCTTCATATGTCTTCAGGTGATGACCAAGAAGGTGGAGATGATTAAAGGATTATTTGTCGCCTGCCGACAGTCAGAGGCTCGATACTTAATCCGATCGCTGGGAGGCAAGTTGCGAATCGGCTTAGCAGAGCAATCAGTACTTACAGCACTAGGGAATGCTGTCTTCCTCACACCCCCAGGGCAAGGTAGGTGAAGGTTATTGGAGTTGAAAGCCAGGAGTTTCTAAATGTTGTCAAGGCTGACTACTTGTTTACTAACTGGTACTAACGTGAAACGAAGTATGTGCCAATCTGTTATTCTTGCGTAATAATATGATTATAAGTTATAATTTTGTAATAAAATTTTTTGGAAAGATTTTGTCAAAATGTGACTGCTGTTGCATTTGGTTTTGGGAACCATGTGGTGTGTGAAAATATATAAATGAATTATCACAAAGTTGTAACAAGTTGATTAATGAGAAATGTCTGACCAGAGACCATATAATAGAGGGACAGCCCTCTAGCCTATGCGCGAAACCATCAGTGCTACGGCTTGTACTGCGCAGCCTGTCCGGAAGCGAGCAGAAACGCGTTCACTGCAGTCATCGTTGTTGCCTTTTTTTCCCATGCAAAAGATATATTTCACAATACATAATTACACTCATATATTTCTTAACATTGTTAACATTACAACTGAGATTTGTTGGTGCCCTAAAGCATGTCGTTGTCACTGTATTTGATGACTGTGATCACGCTTTGTCTTTGTCCGAGAGAACAAAATGGCGCACATGTAAAATCGGCAAAAGTGCAGATTTTGATTTTCAATAACGGGCTCTAATTCGCAATGAAAGTCCTTGGTTACCTAGGTGTATAAAAAGGAGATATGTTAAAAATTGGCTTAGTGCCATTAACAAATTTAGGGTGGATCCGAAATTTCAGATTTTGACTCCAGAAATGGGACTAAATCTGAATTTTCCCGAAAAAATTACACCACAACTCTTAATTTTCGCATGATTTCAGACGAATGTGTTCCTATTATCGGTCCTGAATTTAATAGTTTTACATTCATCATGATTTCCCCTACGGCTTGGTACCAACGTTATTTAGATACGATCGGTAGTTTTTTTGGTATGATTTTTGGTGCAAGGCCATATTTTACGTCACATATTTTAAGTTAAATTACCATATAGCAGACGACATAACATGCATTTTGTCTGTGATTATCATCCGCATATATCCTTTGAAACATTCTACAAAGTGACTTTTATTGTATGATATTAGAATTGTTTTTGTAAAACGCGTATTTTTTTTACCATTGCTTTCGCCATTTCTTCGTAAGTTTAACTTTGTTTCAGTTAGGCCTTATCACATATCGCGCATATACTACATACTACAATACTACATATTTGTTATCTTCCCGTAGATTTTGTCTGTATAAATCATGGCTACATTTAATCAATTATTTATTTTATGCCGTGTAAATATTGATTATGAGCAAAATGATATTGGCCTAAACCCAATCATAATAATGTAAATATGATGAAGGTACTACTTACTTTGTGTATTTACACAACAATGAAAACATCATACAAAAATAAAAATCCGTTACATGAAATATTTGTATAATCAAATTTTAATTTGCTTTGTAAATGCCAAGAAAGAAGAAGGATTATATCCGCAGTCGTCGGGAGAGAAGTTCCAGACAACAAGGTCGAAGGTGTCATTCAGAAAAATATATAGATGATCTATTGAATTTTGAAAACAACAAACGTTACTACAGTTTACGATATACTAGTACATATCTGGTCCCATGCTCGTTGAAGCTATATTGTTATACCTGAAATACCTAATTATTTGTATGCTGAAATATCAATCTAATCGGGTAATATCGGAATATTTGGAATTTAACAGTAGCCTCCCTTTGAAAAAAAACTTACCTCGCTCCAGCAAACCCCATTATCACTGCTAGCCCCAAACTGGCATTAACCAATAACTTTTGATTCTTTCGAAGCCCATTGTCGGACACATCGAAAATTCATTTAACAACGCTCGTAGTTTAATGTGTATTTCTAATTCATTAGAACTATTAGCATTATAAAATAGTAGCGAATTTACATGAAATAAAAACATTAATATGGCGTCATTTTTTTTCTGGCTAATAGTAAAGCATTTACACCAGTCGGTGATCATGCATTTTTGCAAGTAAATCTAGTCTGGACTTATTATAAGATATGAAGTTAATATGGAGATATATTTTGTGAACATCGGGAATATGGTGATATGTTACAAGTGTCTTCCCTGTTTCTGGATGAGTTTTATTTACACTTCCTGAGTTCCTGTGCAATTTACCGGATCGTAGTTTTCTGTGGCGTTCGTAGTAGATTTAGTATATTTGTTTATTTATAATAGTTATCAATTGCAGCATAAAATGAGATATATTAACTGATTTTTAAAACAAATAGAATACGTTATAAAATACTTTTGATATCGGAACGGCTTTTTCTTCATACGCCCTCGAAAACTTACGCTTGTGGACAGACGTCATAATTTCATTTCCTATTTTTTTCTTTGAGTGAATCTTTTTGGGAGGTATTTACCAACGGCTTGGTAGCGGTAACATCACTGTCATTCTATTTAGACCAAGAGTCAACCGAAACCAACCCCTGGTCGAAGAGAGGGAATTCTTCAAGTGGCATATCTAGGTCCAAGACGAAATCGTCCAAGTGAATGAAGTCGTCCATGGCTGTGGCGAATGTAAATTGAAATAAATGTCCCGGAAGACACACATGTTCAGCAAATAATTTACAGGCAATTGACATGTGCTTATGAGAGATATCATAAAAAAATCTTTTTAATCTGCTAAGAGACGTCCTTTTATTGGATTGTCGCTGGTCGTAGTCGGAGAAATCTCGGCTAAGGGAATTAGCTCTTACCCCGGATATTATATAATATTGTTTACGTGGTTACCAGAATGGTCAGTCGTGAATGTCTGCGCATCTATTGCGCATCTGCAGCGGTACAGAGAGGTTAACAGCAGGGTGTCGGGGTGTATCAGTTACATGCCAGACCGTAGCGCTGATGGTTTATGATAAACTGTTGGGGAGGGACGTCCCTCTATTATATGGTCTCTGGTCTGACCTGCTTCAACCCTTATTATTTGTTCCCCTGCTTTTGATGAAGGAAATGTGTCTAGTCTTATCAAATGACATGTTTATCTCATTGTGTGATCTGACAATGTTGATATTTTCACCAGTATGACCACTTGGTACCCCAAAAAACCCAGCTGTAAGCTATATCTGTGTCCACAGAGTACCCCCCGGAGATAGTGGATGCTGGGAAAGGCATAGCTGCTGATGCTCTCAAGAAGAAACTGGATGAGGCAGCACTTGTGATCAAGACGACCTATTGGTAGGATATGACTTTCCAGGCCACCTATTGGTAGTGTATGACTTGCCAGGACACCTATTGGTAGGTGTGACATTCCAGGCCACCTATTGGTAGGATATGATTTTCCAGGCCACCTATTGGTAGGATATGACATTCCAGGCCACCTATTGGTAGCATATGATTTTCCAGGCCACCCATTGGTAGGATATGACATTCCAGGCCACCTATTGGTAGCATATGACTTTCCAGACCACCTATTGGTAGGATATGACATTCCAGGCCACCTATTGGTAGCATATGACTTTCCAGAACTTCCTATTGGTAGGATATGACATTCCAGAACTTCCTATTGGTAGGATATGACATTCCAGAACTTCCTATTGGTAGGATATGACATTCCAGGCAACCTATTGGTAGGATATGACATTCCAGGCCACCTATTGGTAGCATATGACTTTCCAGAACTTCCTTTTGGTAGGATAATACATTCCAGGCCACCTATTGGTAGGATATGACATTCCAGGCCACCTATTGGTAGGATATGACATTCCAGGCCACCTATTGGTAGGATATGACATTCTAGGACAACTATTGGTAGGATATGACATTCCAGGCCACCTATTGGTAGGATATCATTTGCCAGGCCACCTATTGGTAGTGTATGACTTACGAGGACACCTATTGGTAGGATATGGCTTGGCAGGCCACCTATTGGTAGGATATGACCTTCAAGGGAAACTATTGGTAGTGTATGACTTACGAGGACACCTATTGGTAGGATATGGCTTGGCAGGCCACCTATTGGTAGGATATGACCTTCAAGGGAAACTATTGGTAGTGTATGACTTTCCAGGACACCTATTGATAGGATATGATTTTCAAGGACACCTATTGGTAGTGTATGACTTAACAGGACACATATTGGTAGGATATGACATTCCAGGACACCTATTGGTAGCATATGACTTGGCAGGCCACCTATTGGTAGGATATGACTTGGCAGGCCACTTATTGGTAGGATATGACTAGCTAGGCCACCTGTTGGTAGTTTATGACTTGGCAAGACACCTATTGGATGGGTGTGACATTGTAAGACATCTATTGGTTGGGTATGACTTGACAGGACACGTATTGGTGGTGTATGACTTGCCAGGACAGCTATTGGTAGTGTATGACTTGCCACGAAACCTATTGGTAGTGCATTACTTGCCAGGACACCTATTGGTAGTGTATGACTTGTCAGGCCACCTATTGGTAGTGTATGACTTGCCAGGACACCTATTGGTAGTGTATGACTTGCCAGGACACCTATTGGATGGGTGTGACTTTGTAAGACACCTATTGGTAGTGCATTACTTGCCAGGACACCTATTGGATGGGTGTGCCTTTGTAAGACACCTATTGGTTGGGTATGACTTGACAGGACACCAGTTGATGGTATATGGCTTGTCAGGACACTATAGAATTGTGTGGAAACCACTGGCAGCTGTAACTAGTGCACACACCACAGGGAGTCAAGGAATGACCTGCTCCCTGTGCTGGTCATTAGAGCTGATTAAGGAGGATTGCGGGGTGAGATGCAGTGACCTGATTGGGCCTTGGTGATGTGTATCATTACTCACCTGTAATATAGCTGGAATATTGCTGTCGCTGCAGTATTAAACAACATTCACTCAAGCACTTGGGTGCGAGCGGTAGCCTCGTGGTTAGAGTGTTTGCTTGTCATGCTGAAGGCCCTGGTTTGACTCCCCATGTGGGTACAGTGCGTGAAGCACTTATGTGATCTAACCAAAATCAGTACCCTTCCACTAATCATGAGCATCTGACAGCACCTGTGCGGTGAAAGTCAAGATCTGCCTACTGTTCCACAGTCTTGGTTTGAAGCTTATTTTCAAAAGAAAATGGACAATTCCTAAATGTGAATGCAGTTACATTCACACTGGTCAAAGGGGAGTAACTCATCACAGTATGTTTTGCCTGTGAAGTGAAATACAATTTCTGATGTGAACACACATGTGTAAGGTGATATCTTATTTCATGTCAACAGATCCTTGGATTCTTTCACAAAGTCCAAAAATATTTTTTCTTTAAGATAACAGGCTACTCCTTTTGTGTAGGACAGTTTTATTTCACCCAACCCGTTTTCATAGTTACTTCCCTTTGGCCATTAGAAGAAATGCAGTGATCAATACATGCCTATTTAAACTGCATCTGGTCAGTCTGTTGATGAATAAATGACTCAAATTGGCGTGACATGTTTTCTGTAATAATTTATTTGATTGTGTGTACTTGGCAGGGGCTACATAGGGCCCAGTGGAAGAAGCTCCGCCCTAATCTGATGTCTGCGTTAAGTCAACTGGTCATGGGTTTGAATTAATATTTCTGAAGAATCAGAATCTTGGTGTGGATGGGTGTAGTAAACTAATCTCCGTGTCACTTCTCCACAACACTCCTCAAGGTGGGGTTACCCCGTCTCTCACTGACTCTGTTACTCACTCACTTGCACTCACTGTTGCAGCGAGCTGCCCAACTATGACACCATTATCCCCGTGCTGCTGAAGGAGGGCCTGGAGGAGCTGCCCAAACACTGCAAGCTGACACCAGGTAGGACGACCCTCAGCTCCCTCTTGGGGGCATGGATGGCCCAGTCATCTAGGACGCCACAATTTGCTGTGCAGAGTTGTATCCCTTAAGTGCACCAGTACCTATGATTGTAGTTCTAATCCTGGTTCACCCTGATTTTTTTTCTAGCTTTGTCAGTACCTTCCCATGCTTGTGGATTTCACCAAAGTAGTAAATGTCCAAGACCTGCATCATTTTGGGCTTTCCTCCCACATTAAGCTGACTCGCCTTGATAGAACTGGAATTACGTTAAAAGTGGCGTTGAACCCAACTCACTCACACGCCGTCATTTAACTGGAATATTGTTCAAATCAGCGTTACCTCCTACTCACTCAGTCACTCAGCAGCTCCCTCTGCATCTTCATCTTCATCTTTCAAGTGACTGGTTGTCATGATATGGCTGAAATATTACCAATGTAACTTTACATTTTAACTCACTCAGTCACGTGACTGGTTTTCCTGGTCCGAACCTGAATGTCAGCCGACTGCAGTATTAACAATATGATATGGCTGAAATATTCACACACCAACTCTTGCTTTTTGGTAGCATAGTGGTTGAAGTGTTTGTTTGGTATGCTAAAGACCCGGTTTGATTTCTAACATAGGGGAGGCCAAGTGTTGGTGGATATTGCTGAAATAGGATTCAAGTGATTTTATTATCTAAGTGATAAGTACATGGGTTGAATTGTTGAAAATGCTTTTTTATCAACATGTTCTGCAATCAGGCTCATGAGATTTGGTATGTTGCAGGTATTCCCTTGAAACCAATGTTGGCGCACCCAACGAAGGGTGTGAGCGAGGTGCTACGCCGATTTGAAAACATGGAATTTACCTGTGAATACAAGTACGATGGGGAGAGGGCGCAGGTGAGACAATTATAGCATACGTTGTATCCAACAAAATTCGGTCAATAACTGGCTTACCACAAGTGGACTTTGTCTTTTAGCAGCAATTTCTGAGGAATAGAAATCTGTTGTTTACTGGAAACTTGATGTTGTCCAGCAGCTTGAGAAACCACAAGGCGCTGATGATGTATGTTGGTACATGATGCATATTACTTACATGAATTGTGCAGCAGCTTTCGAGGGGGCTGTTTCAATTTTCCAATCCGTGTCAACAGTTATGTATTGCAGACAATGATTCTCAGAAAAGAGAAAAATGACAATTTGTTTAGCAGTATCTGCCTGTTCGGTAAGAAACTCAATGTCACCAGTATTTGGAGAGCAATGAGACAAATGAGTGATATTCAACATTCTTGTTCCCTTTTCCCAGATCCATCTCCTGGAGAACGGCAAGATCCACATCTACAGCCGAAACTCCGAAGACAATACCTCCAAATACCCGGACATCATCAAGCGGATGCCAAATGCCGTTACGGAAGAGGTCAAGTCGTGTGTCATCGACACGGAGGCTGTAGCATGGGACCCTGAGAAGAAGCAGATCCTACCCTTCCAGGTTCTCAGTACCAGGAAGAGAAAGGTAGGGCTATCAATAATCCCATTCGTGTTGTTATTGGCAGACATTACTTTGAAAATCAATATGTTGATATCAAGATTTGGGATGCCTCTCTGCTGGATACAATGCTGCTGACAGAAAGGGTTTTGAATCGCAGATACTTTATCCTGTCCATACAAGTGAGCGTGTGTAGTTAGAGTGAATATATCATGCACCAGTGCAACCTATTTTTGAAAAGTGCAACCTAATATTTCTTCAATACTTCTCAGCTTTAGGCTTTAAAAAATAAAAAAATTGGTTCTCAGGCAATGGTTTTTGAAAATATAATACGGATGGTATCAATAAACAACTGTGTACAATCAACCTGGGAGAGGGCCTCCCTACATAAATGTATTCCTTGATGAGTAAAATACTGGAATACAGTATCACCCTGCGTTGATGCGGGCGGTACCTGAGAACCAAGACTATGATTTTTATTAGCCTCATGTAACATACTACACCCCTAATCACTCGGTTATGTGCAATTTGTCACTTTTTCTTAACGTCATCAAACTGGGTACTGCAAGATTGTGTACATATGTTCCTCCTATGTTTTACAGCAATACGTGAATCATTTATGTAAAATCATGACACAGTCGTCAGAGATTTGAGATTTTATTTATTTAGACCAGTCTATATTTGTGTTTTTCAATTTTGATAAATTGATAGCACCAGGGTGCAACCTGTTTTTTTCTGGTGCAACTAGATTTTCATGTCAACAGGAACCTGGTGCATGTTAAATCAAGTTCCTTAAATCAAGCCCTGCCTGTCATTGTTAATAGCCCTTGGTTTGTCTGCACCAAACCCATGCTTGTCCCTACAGAGTAGAACATTTCTTTCCTCTCTCGTTCAGCTTACATGCCAGAACTGAACTGATGCATGGAACTTAACACACTTGTTATAGCGGTAAGATAGTTTGTGTGGACAGGGCACACACGAGTACACTGATGCATGGAACTTAACACACTTGTTGTAGCGCTAAGATAGTTTGTGTGGACAGGGCACACGCGAGTACACTGATGCATGGAACTTAACACACTTGTTGTAGCTCTAAGATAGTTTGTGTGGACAGGGCACACGCGAGTACACTGATGCATGGAACTTAACACACTTGTTGTAGCGCTAAGATAGTTTGTGTGGACAGGGCACACGTGAGTACACTGATGCATGGAACTTAACACACTTGTTGTAGCGCTAAGATAGTTTGTGTGGACAGGGCACACGCGAGTACACTGATGCATGGAACTTAACACACTTGTTGTAGCGCTAAGATAGTTTGTGTGGACAGGGCACACGTGAGTACACTGATGCATGGAACTTAACACACTTGTTGTAGCGCTAAGATAGTTTGTGTGGACAGGGCACACGCGAGTACACTGATGCATGGAACTTAACACACTTGTTGTAGCTCTAAGATAGTTTGTGTGGACAGGGCACACGCGAGTACACTGATGCATGGAACTTAACACACTTGTTATAGCGCTAAGATAGTTTGTGTGGACAGGACACACGCGAGTACACTGATGCATGGAACTTTACCCACTTGTTGAAGCTCTAAGATAGTTTGTGTGGACAGGGCACACGTGAGTACACGGATGCGTGTACAGGAGGCTGTGTTTGTAGGTGTCAGGGTGATTTAATGGACCAGGGTTGAAAGTCCATCTCCATGTCCCCATTGTGGTTGTGAGAAGTTAACAAGATGATGCAAGGAAACAAATCTAATGAAAATTTGTTCTAGTAATCTTCCATAAGGCTCTATGTGCACCTCACTCTCTCCTTCTGAAACCTTTGGCCTGTGCATACTCTGTAAATCTATTTATACAAGAGCCTCTGAAGCCACCTGATGTATGAAGCATATACATACAGTATACAACCCAAGCTGCCTGTTTGGTGCCAGAAGGTTAACAACCACATTGTCATCTAATCCTATCAGGTACTTGGTAATGCAATGAAGTCTCCCAAAAGTTAAGGAATTCCTAATTCAAGTTGAAGATAATTTCATTGATTTGGAAAGAAGATTGTTGTCATTACTGTGAATCTGTTTCTATGACATGAGTGAAACAGCATGAATATGTTGCTCTGTTCCCAGGATGCTGACGTGGCTGAGATTAAAGTCCAAGTGTGTGTGTATGCCTTTGACCTCCTATACTTCAACGGCGAGTCTCTAGTCCAACAACCTTTCAGAAAGAGGAGAGAACTGTTGCGTACCAAGTTCACAGAGGTTGAGGGAGAGTTTGTATTTGCCAAATCCATGATAGCATCTAATACAGAACAGATAGAGGAATTCTTGGATGAGTCTATAAAAGGTAATGGTTGTCAATATTTAGCAGGGCTGTGAGTGTGAGGTTGTGATTCCGGTTTAGAATAGGTACCCAGCATCCCATGATGGTTGTAAGAGGCCACTGAATAGATTGGGTGGTCAGACTTAACTTCTGGGTTGATTGTGTGTCATTGTACACCAACAACATAGATCATTGCTCATAATGTCAATCACTGGATTATCTGGTCCATACTTGATTATTTACAGACTGCCATCATGTAGCTTGAATATTGCTGAGTGCAGCATTGAACAAAAATATACAAACAAAAAATAAATTCTCAGTATGCCATGCTTGTCTCTCCATGATGTTTTGGGGCAGAGTAGGTCCTTAGTATGCCATGCTTGTCTCTCCATGATGTTTTGGGGCAGTATAGGTCCTCAGTATGCCATGCTTGTCTCTCCATGGTGTTTTGGGGCAGTGTAGGTCCAGTATGCCATGCTTGTCTCTCCATGAAGTTTTGAGGCAGTGTAGGTCCTCAGTATGCCATGCTTGTCTCTCCATGATGTTTTGGGGCAGAGTAGGTCATCAGTATGGCATGCTTGTCTCTATATGATGTTTTGGGGCAGAGTAGGTCCTCAGTATGCCATGCTTGTCTCTCCATGGTGTTTTGGGGCAGAGTAGGTCCTCAGTATGCCTTGCTTGTCTCTATATGATGTTTTTGGGCAGTGTAGGTCCTTAGTATGCCATGCATGTCTCTCCATGATGTTTTGGGGCAGAGTAGGTCATCAGTATGGCATGCTTGTCTCTCCATGATGTTTTGGGGAAGTGTAGGTCCTCAGTACACTGTGCTTGTCTCTTTTGGGGGTTCTGGGGAACTGTAGGTCCTCTATCCCTCCTCGCATCATGTCTACTTTACTCATGCCTCCTCCTTTTCCTCCTCCGCTGTGCCAGGTAACTGTGAGGGACTGATGGTGAAGACTATGGATGTGGATGCCACGTATGAGATAGCCAAGAGATCACACAACTGGCTCAAGGTAGGACCTATTCTTCATTTGCTACAGTTCAGGGAAGCCCATTCCTTTTGGTTCACCACCAGGATATGACTGGAGTAATGATGAATAGTAAAACCCAACTCACCTCATCCCTCCATGGTGGCATATTATACAGAGTGTCAACTTTCATCTGTCACGTCATCTGAAATCAGATTGTCATAAATGTTCTTACAGTGAACAAGGAAAAAAATGTAAAGGTGCAAAATTTCCTCTTGAAAACAGAATTATCTGTGTATATGTGTTGCTGGTAAAGATGCTGCAGTGTGCTGCATGTATGTGTGTTACAGGTGAAGAAGGACTACCTGGATGGTGTAGGGGACACCCTGGATGTGGTGCCCATTGGGGGCTACCTGGGCTCTGGCAAGAGGACCGGGTGGTACGGGGGCTTCCTGCTTGCCTGCTATGATGAGGAGAATGAAGAGTTCCAGTCCATCTGCAAGGTACCCACCCAGAATCTGGAATGTAAACTTATGTCAACAACCCAGTACCCACCCAGAATCTGGAATGTAAACTTATGTCAACAACCCTGTACCCACCCAGAATCTGAAATATAAACGTATGTCAACAACCCTGTACCCACCTAGAATCTGGAATGTAAACTGATGTCAACAACCCTGTACCCACCCAGAATCTGGAATGTAAACTGATGTCAACAACCCTGTACCCACCCAGAATCTGGAATGTAAACTGATGTCAACAAAATTGTACTCATCCAGAATCTGGAATGTTAACTTTTGCCAACATCCATTAGTAGTTCAGGTTGTCGACTGTCCAGTATTTTTATTATTAATGACTAGTTCTTCACACTGCAGTCAAATATAATCGACCTTTTAGTAACATCATGGATAACTGAAAAGGTTTGCTTTTGGTTAGATAGGATTGCAAAGGTGGAACAACCAACATGTCCAGATGTGCACTTTGTTATTGTTTTCAGCTGCACGTCTTCTCCATCCTGATCCCGAGGATGACAACGCTCTGTGTAGAGTTATGTCCCTTAGCTGCTGAAATTTGTCTTGGGTTTGATTCACCCCAATTATGATCCTTGGTCTGTCAATTCCATGGCAATGCTTGAGGGACTCACAACATTGCTAAACATCCACTACCTGCAATATAATATGAAGCTGACAAAGTTGTACATCAGAAAAGAAAGCATAAACCCAGTTGTCACTCACTCACTCTCAATCCTCTAGTCCAACAGCTAAGTCTATGGTATTTATAAGGCTATTTTGATTCGATCAGATTGGCACTGGCTTCACAGATGAGTACCTGGAGAAGCACACTACTTTCCTGAAGGAGCATCTCATAGATAAACCAAAGCCCTACTACCAGTACGACTCCAGTCACGAACCCGACCACTGGTTTGATGCAGTCCAGGTGTGGGAGATTAAGGTCGCTGACCTCTCAATATCCCCTACCCATAAGGCCGCAGCGGGACTGGTGAGTTTCTGTCTGTGTCTTTACTTTAATCACTGTTTTCAGATTGTTTATCCCAAACCTTTGGGTGGAAGTTGAAATAAAATAACAATACCGAAATTTTATAGCATGTTTTTCAAGTGTAGTCATAAAATGTTTTGTTGACCTGTTGGCCAAGAAACTGTAAGACAAGTTGGACTTCTCTGGCCTCAGATTGGAAACCAAAGTTGGATGTAACAATGACAAAATGAATATGAGAAGTTAATGCTGGTACATGCATATATCTGTATAGCTGAAATACTGCCAATGTGATGTATGTTGAAATTTTAGGTTGATCCAGAAAAAGGCATATCGCTGAGATTCCCCCGCTTTTTGCGTATCCGTGACGACAAGAAGACCGAACAAGCAACATCTGCCACTCAGGTATGCCCAGTGCTAACTTACTCTCAGGTGTGCCCAGTGCTATCTTACTCTCAGGTATGCCTAGTGCTAGCTTACTCTTAGGTATGCCCAGTGCCAACTTACTCTCAGGTGTGCCCAGTGCTAACTTACTCTCAGGTGTGCCCAGTGCTAACTTACTCTCAGGTGTGCCCAGTGCTAACTTACTCTCAGGTATGCCCAGTGCCAACTTACTCTCAGGTGTGCCCAGTGCTAACGTACTCTCAGGTGTGCCCAGTGCTAGCTTACTCTCAGGTGTGCCCAGTGCTAGCTTACTCTCATGTATGCCTAGTGCTAGCTTACTCTTAGGTATGCCCAGTGCCAACTTACTCTCAGGTGTGCCCAGTGCTAACTTACTCTCAGGTGTGCCCAGTGCTAACTTACTCTCAGGTGTGCCCAGTGCTAACTTACTCTCAGGTATGCCCAGTGCCAACTTACTCTCAGGTGTGCCCAGTGCTAACTTACTCTCAGGTGTGCCCAGTGCTAGCTTACTCTCAGGTGTGCCCAGTGCTAGCTTACTCTCAGGTGTGCCCAGTGCTAACTTACTCTCAGGTGTGCCCAGTGCTAACTTACTCTCAGGTGTGCCCAGTGCTAGCTTACTCTCAGGTGTGCCCAGTGCTAGCTTACTCTCAGGTATGCCCAGTGCTAACTTACTCTCAGGTGTGCCCAGTGCTAACTTACTCTCAGGTGTGCCCAGTGCTAACTTACTCTCAGGTGTGCCCAGTGCTAGCTTACTCTTAGGTATACCCAGTGCTAACTTACTCTCAGGTGTGCCCAGTGCTAGCTTACTCTCAGGTATGCCCAGTGCTAACTTACTCTCAGGTAATATGTAATTTGCTTCATATTATCTGTCTTCTGTAACCTTTTGCATTTTCAACATTCTTGCGTAAGGAGCTTCATATTTCAATGATGTTTTTGAACAAGTTCAAATTCCTGATATGGGAATTTACATCTGTAGAGTAATGTTCATGTTGTCTTCAGGTGCCTACCAAGTTGTCCACCATCTACTTTACACTCCACCCTCTACTTTACACTCCACCATCTACTTTACACTCCACCATCTACTTTACACTCCACTCTCTACTTTACACTCCACAATCAACTTTACACTCCACCATCTACTTCACACCCCACCCTCTACTTTACACACCACCATCTACTTTACTCTCCACCATCTACTTTACACTCCACTCTCTACTTTACACTCCACAATCAACTTTACTCTCTACCCTCTACTTTACACACCACCATCTACTTTACACTCCACCATCTACTTTACACTCCACCATCTACACTACACACCACCATCTACTTTACACTCCACCATCTACTTTACACCTCATCATCTACACTACACACCACCATCTTCTTTACACTCCACCCTCTACTTTACACACCACTCTCTACTTTACACTCCACAATCAACTTTACACTCCACCATCTACTTTACACTCCACCCTCTACTTTACAAACCACCATCTACTTTACTCTCCACCCTCTACTTTACACACCACCATCTACTTTACACTCCACCATCTTCTTTACACTCCACCATCTACTTTACACTCCACCCTCTACTTTACACTCCACCATCTACTTTACACTCCACTCTCTACTTTACTCTCCACCCTCTACTTTACACACCACCATCTACTTTACACTCCACCATCTTCTTTACACTCCACCATCTACTTTACACTCCACCCTCTACTTTACACTCCACCATCTACTTTACACTCCACTCTCTACTTTACTCTCCATCCTCTACTTTACACACCACCATCCACTTTACACTCCACCATCTACTTTACTCTCCATCCTCTACTTTACACACCACCATCTACACTACACACCACCATCTACTTTACACTCCATCCTCTACTTTACACACCACCATCTACAGTACACACCACCATCTACTTTACACTCCACCATCTACTTTACACTCCACCATCTACTTTACACATCACCATCTACACTACACACCACCATCTACTTTACACTCCACCATCTACTTTACACCTCATCATCTACACTACACACCACCATCTTCTTTACACTCCACCCTCTACTTTACACACCACTCTCTACTTTACACTCCACAATCAACTTTACACTCCACCATCTACTTTACACTCCACCCTCTACTTTACAAACCACCATCTACTTTACTCTCCACCCTCTACTTTACACACCACCATCTACTTTACACTCCACCATCTTCTTTACACTCCACCATCTACTTTACACTCCACCCTCTACTTTACACTCCACCATCTACTTTACACTCCACTCTCTACTTTACTCTCCACCCTCTACTTTACACACCACCATCTACTTTACACTCCACCATCTTCTTTACACTCCACCATCTACTTTACACTCCACCCTCTACTTTACACTCCACCATCTACTTTACACTCCACTCTCTACTTTACTCTCCATCCTCTACTTTACACACCACCATCTACTTTACACTCCACCATCTACTTTACTCTCCACCCTCTACTTTACACTCCACCATCTACTTTACACTCCACCATCTACTTTACTCTCCATCCTCTACTTTACACTCCACCATCTACTTAACACACCATCATCTACTTTACTCTCCATCCTCTACTTTACACTCCACCATCTACTTTACACTCCACCATCTACATTACACTCCACCATCTACTTTACTCTCCACCCTCTACTTTACACTCCACCATCTTCTTTACACTCCACCATCTACTTTACTCTCCATCCTCTACTTTACACTCCACCATCTACTTTACACTCCACTCTCTACTTTACTCTCCACCCTCTACTTTACTCTCCATCATCTACTTTACACACCACCATCTACTTTACTCTCCACCCTCTACTTTACACTCCACCATCTTCTTTACACTCCACCATCTACTTTACACTCCACCCTCTACTTTACACTCCACCATCTACTTTACACTCCACTCTCTACTTTACTCTCCATCCTCTACTTTACACACCACCATCTACTTTACACTCCACCATCTACTTTACTCTCCACCCTCTACTTTACACTCCACCATCTACTTTACACTCCACCATCTACTTTACTCTCCATCCTCTACTTTACACTCCACCATCTACTTAACACACCATCATCTACTTTACTCTCCATCCTCTACTTTACACTCCACCATCTACTTTACACACCACCATCTACATTACACTCCACCATCTACTTTACTCTCCACCCTCTACTTTACACTCCACCATCTTCTTTACACTCCACCATCTACTTTACTCTCCATCCTCTACTTTACACTCCACCATCTACTTTACACACCACCATCTACTTTACGCTCCACCATCTACTTTACTCTCCACCCTCTACTTTACACTCCACCATCTACTTTACACTCCACCATCTACTTTACACTCCACTCTCTACTTTACACTCCACAATCAACTTTACTCTCCACCATCTACTTTACACACCACCATCTACTTTACACTCCACCATCTACTTTACACTCCACCATCTACACTACACACCACCATCTACAGTACACACCACCATCTACTTTACACTCCTCCATCTACTTTACACTCCACCCTCTACTTTACACACCACCATCTACACTATACACCACCATCTACTTTACACTCCACCATCTACTTTACACTCCACCATCTACTTTACACTCCACCCTCTACTTTACACTCCACTATCTTCTTTACACTCCACCATCTACTTTACACTCCACCATCTTCTTTACACACCAACATCTACTTTACTCTCCATCCTCTACTTAACACTCCATCCTCTATTTTATACACCACCATCTACTTTACGCTCCACCATCTACTTTACACTCCACCCTCTACTTTACACTCCACCATCTACTTTACACTCCACTCTCTACTTTACTCTCCATCCTCTACTTTACACACCACCATCTACTTTACACTCCACCATCTACTTTACTCTCCACCCTCTACTTTACACTCCACCATCTACTTTACACTCCACCATCTACTTTACTCTCCATCCTCTACTTTACACTCCACCATCTACTTAACACACCATCATCTACTTTACTCTCCATCCTCTACTTTACACTCCACCATCTACTTTACACACCACCATCTACATTACACTCCACCATCTACTTTACTCTCCACCCTCTACTTTACACTCCACCATCTTCTTTACACTCCACCATCTACTTTACTCTCCATCCTCTACTTTACACTCCACCATCTACTTTACACACCACCATCTACTTTAAGCTCCACCATCTACTTTACTCTCCACCCTCTACTTTACACTCCACCATCTACTTTACACTCCACCATCTACTTTACACTCCACTCTCTACTTTACACTCCACAATCAACTTTACTCTCCACCATCTACTTTACACACCACCATCTACTTTACACTCCACCATCTACTTTACACTCCACCATCTACACTACACACCACCATCTACAGTACACACCACCATCTACTTTACACTCCTCCATCTACTTTACACTCCACCCTCTACTTTACACACCACCATCTACACTATACACCACCATCTACTTTACACTCCACCATCTACTTTACACTCCACCATCTACTTTACACTCCACCCTCTACTTTACACTCCACTATCTTCTTTACACTCCACCATCTACTTTACACTCCACCATCTTCTTTACACACCAACATCTACTTTACTCTCCATCCTCTACTTAACACTCCATCCTCTATTTTATACACCACCATCTACTTTACGCTCCACCATCTACTTTACGCTCCACCATCTACTTTACACTCCATCCTCTACTTTACACTCCATCCTCTACTTTATACACCACCATCTGCTTTAGGCTCCACCATCTACTTTACGCTCCACCATCTACTTTACACTCCACTCTCTACTTTACTCTCCATCCTCTACTTTACACACCACCATCTACTTTACACTCCACCATCTACTTTACTCTCCACCCTCTACTTTACA